GGGGGCCGGTGGCTAGAGGTGAGGCCAGTGCGGTGAGGGGGTGGGTGGACTGTGGACAACCTTCAAGGCCACTTTAATGACTGTGGCTTTTGCACTGAGTGAGATGAGAAACTCCTGGGACTTTGCACAGAACGGCATGATCTGACCTGTGCTATCCAAGGCTCCCTGTGGCCACTGGAGAAAGGACAGGCTGGAGCAGGTCAGGAGTGGAGGTCACCAGGGAGGCTGCATGATGACAGGCATGTGGACAACTTGGCAGTGATGGAAGTCGTGAGAAAGGTGGGGTCTGAGGTTTCAAAGGTAAAGCTGACAGGGTCTGCTGGCAGATTCGTGTAGGGCACAGTAACTTGTTGGTTTGGGTCCTAAGCCACGTGCAGAATGGACCATTTACAAAGACGGGAGACCTGAAGGAGGAGAGGGCTTGCAGTGGAGAGTAAGGAGAGGACTGGGACCAGGAGTTTGCTTTTGGACAAACTAAGTGGTAGAGCCCAGGTTTGAGCCCAATCCCAGCTATCAAAGACTGTGTATTTCCGCTTGATACCACTGTAACCTAAGCAGCACCATAATCAGCCTTTTCTTAGGGCGCTACTACTAATAATAATAAATTATGAATAAAGTGAAGTGTGGTCTGAAAGGTCCCTGCAATCTGAATCCAGCAGCACTAGTAGATCGGCATTTGGAGCGACAACTACTGAGAGGAAATGGTTGCAGACTGTTGCTTCTGGGAGACGGGGGGCTGGGCAGACCTCACTGGCAGCGTGGGCTCCTGGAATAGAACAGTCCTCGGTCAGGAGCAGACATCGCAGGGCGTGTCCTGGGCGTCTGGGGGCTCGAACCGCCCCCACAAGGACGCTCAGGAGCAGGTGTGAGCCACCTGCTGCTCTTTCTGTGTCAGGCAGGATCCTGCACATGATGAGGGGAGAATGAAGAAGCCCCCACAGATGACAGCTCATCTGGGGACATTAGTGCTGAATTGCTCAGGGGGACATTCGGAAAAGAAAATGCGGATGGGGAAGGAGAGAATGAGGACACCCCGACAGTGCTGCCTCTTAAAGTCCCCGGCCCTCACCCGCTTCAAAATGACCCACATCTGTACAACTCAGGGTCCCCAAAGTGCCTCACCTCACCTCTTACTGCCCCAGATCAGTGCTCGCCACCAGAGCTGCCAGGACCCACAGCACAGGCCCAGGATTTGTGGGGTCAGGGCTGCCTGAGTGTGCAGCCCTCTCCAGATCCATGCCTTCCACGTGGGTGAACGGAGGAAGCAGTGACAAGCCCCAAAGCTCCTGGTCCCCATCGCAGTCCCAGGGCACTCAGGGAATGGAGAAGAACCAGGAAAAGGCATGCGGGCTATGACGAGTAGGAAAGTAGGAAGGAAACATAGAATCAGACCATGCCAGAGTCACGGAGACATCGCCCCGAGAGGAGATGTGACTTCCTCAAGATCCTAAAGTCAGTGAGAGGCTGGGCCAGCCTGGACCTCAGGACCCTCTGCCTCCTTTTTCTCTCCATCCCCTAACAACAGCTTAAGCCCGAGGAGGCTCTTCACAGAGCTGTTCTTCTCCTTGATAAATCTCAGGATAGGAACCAGATGCTGAGACACAGATGTAGGAGGAAAGCCTCCACGTTGGGACACCACCCCCCACCCAGCAGGATAGGCCACATGGCTGGAAGAAGTCAGCTTAGCAGAACCAAAATCTCCCTCTCTGCCAAGAAGGGAGATGGGATCATAAACTGGTTTTCCATGGAGCAAAGCCGTTCAGTAGCTGTCGCTGCTGGCCAAACCACAGATGGATGCGTCACAGCAGTGGCCTCAACTAGGGCACAGGCTCTTCTGCCCTGGCCCCAACTGCCTCTGCACGCTGCAACTTCCCACCTGCTGGACACTAGTAGCACCAGTGGGACCTTTCTCAGGGCCATTCTAGGTCAGGGACATTTAAGACAAGACTTGTAGGTGGGACTCGCCTTTGAGTGTATGTGTTAGAATAAAGGTGAGCCCCACTTCAAAGAGAGCAAACTTACAAAGCTGAGTAGACAGAAGAAGCTAAGCGCTCTAGGCACATCAGGCAAGTGGATTCCACTTGATAACAAGATTCACCACAGGCTGGGTGGGGTATGGCTGTCCTCGGTCTGTGCTGGGACACCCAGCACACGTCCACACTCCAGCCCATGCCACAGGCACGGGGAGCAGCTTTCTCCATTGCCACGGGCACTCGTGAATCTCCCAGGTGGCGCAGGGGGACATGGCACAGCCAGGATGGGGCCTGGTTTGTGTTTGCTTCCCCAAAGCTGACCTGCTTCTAAAGCCTTGCCTTTCTGGAAGGCCCTTCCATGCACTTCAAGCGTGTTAACAGGGTGAGGGGTTTTCAATCGACCCTTTCTCTTTCNAAAAAAAAAAAAAAAAAAAAAAAAAAAAAAGAACTATGAGAAATACATTTCTGTTGTTTAAGCCGCACTACCCATGGAATTTTTTACAGCAGCCCAAGCAGACTAAGACCCATTCTAAGAAATAATCACTACCATCACGTACGTAGCACTTGTGACGTGTCAGGTAACTGACATGCATTAGCTCACGTAACCCTCATAAGAACCCTATGATGTAGACGTTCACATGCCCGTTTTACAGATAAGAATCCGAGGAACAGAGAAGAAGTAACTTGCCCAAAGCCACTCAGCTAGTAAATGGTAGAGCTGGGATTAAAATGGACAGTCAAGCTTCTGAAGCCATATTTGTAACTGATTATCTGCTTCTGTGAGAGTCTGTATATTAAGTGCCTGTCCATAACAGAGCCCAACCAATAAATGAATCCTTTTCTCTCATTTCCTACAAGTGTTTGGAGCCTCAAGGGTCCTCCAGGATCAGGCCTCTCTGAATTCAGGGATGGTGCCAGAGGAGGCCTATGCCTAACGCAGTGTCAGGACACCTGCCGGCTAGAGCTGAGCGGAACCACTGGGTGAAGTACGCAGACACCTGTGGTTTCTGAAGCCTTCAAGGCAGGATCGGGACATTTGGTGAATGTTGATTCAGGAGGCAAGCCAACTCCATGGCCTGAGAGCGAGCTCCGGGTTATATGCAAAGTGCCGGTACAGTCGCTGCCAACCGAGATAAGCACTCGAATTCACTGTCAGACAAATATTTTGAGGTTTCACATCCAAAAAATTAGAAAATTAGGAAGTGTTACTCTACTCTGAGGGAGCTGCATGTGGAATTCCAACCCAAATAACTATGACCTTCTGGATCAGATAAAAAGGCTGGTCTCTTTTGTTTTAGGTTAAAACGGAAGAAACTCATAATTATGAAATTTGAAATTGCTTTTGCATCTCCTTCCCCCACCCCAACCCTTACAAACCAAACAGCTGCGGCTCGGTGGGCATCTGCCTCCTGGTTCAGAAACCAGCTTCTCCCTGATGCGAGGGACCCCGTTTATGCTCCTATGCCCCGTCACCTGTGAGGGCCTTGGTGCCCGCCTTCTTGCTCTCCTGGTGGCCCCTCTCGGCCCACACGTAGACTCTGTACGCCTCTCCCGGCTTCAGGCCCGTCAGGACGGTGCTGCTCTGCTCCCTGGGCACTGCCATGTCCTTGGTCTCCCCATCAGCGGAGGTGTAGCGCACCACGTACTTGTCTATGACAGCCTGGACAGGGTCCCAGGACACCACTGCCGTGTCTTCTGTCACTCGATCAGTGACCACCTTGGTGGGGCTATCAATTTCTTCATAAAAATATATGAGAAAAAAATTAGAGAAGCCATTTATTTAGCTGGTCAAGATCACAGATGCTTCAAGATCTAGTTCATCAGGGGGACCTAGTTTCATTGTCTACACAATGCAAGATGGTCACGCCATCATCTGTGACAAGTGGACAGTCTCTGCTTGAACTCTAAGCTGATGGACAAAACAATCCCTTCAGTTTCAGACCACTGAGCACATCAGATAAAGCTCCAAGTGGAGCTACTTGAAGTGTAAAACCTTAAAGTGCATCTGCCCTTGGCGGACGTACAGAATACACACGCCTGACTCCTCTTCAAAGACACCATCCGGCAAGTATTTAAGAATGGTTACCACTCTTCTCCTGATTCTCCTCTGATGAGAACAGCTTCACTTCTCCATCTTATAAACTTATGGTATGGCATGGCATGGGGTATGGTATGATATGGGGTATGGGATGGGGTATGGTGGGGTATGGTGGGGTATGGTTGGTATACTTCCAAATTATAATTTCTATACCTGGGACTTACATCTCAACAAGCTCCTTTCTTTTCCAGTTCAGAGAAGAATCCCCAAAACTCAGTTCATTCATTAAACAATTCATTGTGCGTCCAGGGAGTATAATGGCATTGAGGAGTCACCAATGAGCAAAACAATCAGAAAACCCTCCGGTGAGGAGTTTGTGTTCTAGAAGGAACAACCCAAAGCAGTATGGCGTCTATGTCCTTCACTCTGTGCTCCCAATGCCAAATCCTCAGCCCACAGCCTCAGGACATCCCTAAGGCTTTCCACGCATGGCCCTGCTAACCCAGGGGTTCTCAACATTTGTCAACTTTGGGCATCTACTAAATACTCCCAGGAGAGTCTACTTTAGAAGGTCTCAGAGAAACCCTGACATCTCTACTGAAAAACAACAAGTGTACAGTTAAAACTCTACAGGTGATTCTGATGCATATCAAAGGTTAGAACCTCCATGCTAAGCCATATCTTCCCCGTTTTATGCGCATATGATGCATTTCCTGAATCCAACATTTATCCTTGTTCTATTTTATCTTACGCATTCCATTTAGTCATTCACTCAACATGACCACTTGTCTTTCTGGATTATCATTTGCAAACTTAGTAGGTAAGCCATCTGAGGGCATCTGTCAAGGTCACGGCTAAAGGCGCTGCACAGAGAAAAGCTGAGCCATGCCACGAGAACCCTCCCCACACACAGATCGGTAAAGATCGGTAAAGACACACAAGACGGCGCCTTACTCTGAGAAATCTAAGCATTTTTCCTTCCTCCCATCCTGCTCTAGCTCTCTTGGCCAAGGGTTTTCCGGTAGAGAAGTTACAACTTCACATAGCTGCATTTTTTTTTTAAGCTGAGCCATCCTGCCACCTGTTGGCAGCTCAGCGGCTGCTCAGCTTGGGCCAGGAATTGAACCACTGTTGCTCAGAGCTCAAACTCTTGAGCGAGCTCTTAACCAACTGAGCCACTCGGCCGGCCCCCAATAGCTGCATTTTTTAACATCAATTATACCCTTCTAGAGCACAGTGGCAGTGTTTAATTGTGTGCATGGAAACATGCCATCACCAGAAGCAGTGTGTATTTTATCTAATAAATCAGTTGCAATTTATTGAGCACATACTATGTGCTACGTGCTTTTCACACATTACTTTATCAAACCTCATAGTAAGAACACAGGCATTTATCAGATTCGCCATGGACTAGTTAAGAAAATTAATAATAGTTACCATTTTTAGAGCACTGACTATATGTCAGGCTGAGAGAGGCTAGATAACTTGCCCAGGGTCACTCAGATAGTAAATGGTGGTACTGACACAATTATTCACTGAGTGCCTATTTGGAGCTAGGGATTCAGCAGTATTATGACTTAAATTGTAGCCCTCCCCCTGCCCCCTCCCCAAAAACAAAGATATGTTGAAGTGCTAACCCTCAACACCTCAGAAAGAAACCTTATTTAGGAATAGGGGCTTTCTAGAGGTAATCAAGTTAAAATGAGATCATTAGGGTCAGCCTAATCCAATATGACTGGTTTCCTTATAAAAGGGGGACATTTGGACACAGAGATAGATGCACATGGAGGAAAGACAGTGTGAAGAGACCCAGGGAGCAGGCGGCCACGTGGCTGGATGCTGCACCTACCAGCTGGGGGACGCCAAGGATTGCTGACAAACGCCAGAAGCTAGAACAGGCAAGGGCCTCCCCTAGAGACGGCAGAGCGAGTGTGGCCCTGCGGACACCCTGACGTCAGACTTCCAGCCGCCGCAACTGTGGGACAATACGTTTCTGTTGTTTTAAGCCCCCCAAGTTTAGGTACTTTGTTACAGCAGCCCTTGGAAACTAACATAAGCAATGAACAAGATAAAGGCTCTGCCATGGAGCTCACATTCTCCTGGAGAAGCCAGGCAATGAAGAAGGGGTATTAGCAAGTCCCCCATGGCAAGGTAAAGGGGTCAGAAAACGGCGAACAAAAGGTATTTGTGGTTTTACACAGGGAGATCAGGAAGGATCGGTCTCACTGAGAAGGTACGTTTGAACAAAGACAAAACTGAAAGGAGGCAATGGGCCCTGTGCTCTCTGCAGAAACGCATTCCTGGCAGAGGGAGCAGCAAGTTCAAAGGCGCTGCTCCATGAACAGCAGAAGGCCGGTGCATCTGGACAGAGCAAGCGGGGGCCGGTGGCTAGAGGTGAGGCCAGTGCATCTGGACAGAGCNACACCTTTGTAAATAACCTCTTCATTAACCATTCTTCAGTACCCTGTGTGCCCTCTCTTTCCTGCTCAGATGAACTTAACTGGTGTCTTCAGCAGATCCTCACCCATCCCAGCTTGAACTTGCTGAGTGGGCTCAGAGGCTCAGTGAGGGCGTGGGGGTGCAGGTGTACCCCTGGCTGCTTGTGTGAGGGTGCAGGGCAATCAGACCTTACTAATCCCACGGGCGGAGAAGGCCCCTTGAGTTCCAATCCAGCAGGCTCCGTCGCCAGCTTGGAGGACACAACACTCGGCGAGTGGAGAGAGGGGAGTAAGAGCTGAGCCTTTTCCAGAACCCCGGATGGCAGCAGCTGTGTGTTTCAGCCTCAAGGCAGGGCAGCGGCCTGACCAGTGGAAGGGCACTTGGGACGATGGAAGAAAATGTTCGAAATGGGGCCTTTCCCGGGAAACCTGGGGCCTCTGGCTGCCCCCTCACCTGTGGTGGCGAGCAGATGCTGTGGGCTGCTGGAAACCCCTTTCTTCACGTTGTGCAGGGTGACTATGTACTTGGTTCCAGGCAGCAAACCGAGGATCTCGTAGGTGTGCTGCTCCCTGGGCACCTGGGTCTGCTGCCCAGACAGCTCCTGCCCCAGCGGGTAGTAGCTGAGCAGGTAGTGGTCCACCTCGCCAGAGGGCTCCCAGCTCACCAGCAGGGAGCTCTCTGTGCTCTTGAGCAGCTGTAGGCCCTGGGGGGCGACCACTGCAGGAGGAACAGGATGGAGAGTGAGAGAGAGGGGTGGGAACCCACAGCCAACGAGGGCAAGTGGGGCCCCTACTATACACTTAACACCATGGTGGTGGGTGTGGGATTTAGGGAGGCTGGAGAGGCACCATTCTGGACCCCCAAAAGTAATTATCTGGTTGGAAGTAAATACTGAACCCCTACATGCGCGCGCAGACACACATGCACACACACATGCGTGTGCACACACACACACGTGCACACACACATACACACATACTCTGAGCCATTAGATCACATAACACTACTGGTCCTCAAACCAGCAGCAGCAGCAGCACTTTGGAACTTGTTAGAAATGCAAATTCTCGGGCCTCACCCCAGACCGGCTGAATCAGAAACTCGGGGGNCACACACACACACACACACACACACACAGAGTTCTTTCAAAAGAAACGTCTGTGTGGCATCACATCCACCCTCTGACACAGACAGGGTCTTCGAGAGGACACTGGGAGAACATTTTGGATGTGGAATCTGTTAAGCAGGTGCCCTAAGCTTCCGGAGGCAGCTCTGGGAGGCTGGAGCAGCGTCCGCAGGCCTCCAGAGTGGGCTCACGCCTGGGGGTTTCCAGGCTCAGGGCTCGAGGGATTCCTAAGGTCCGAGGACCTGTGTGCACACTCGGGTGGCACAGGTGTCAGTGCCCTGCACACACTGTCCCCGCCTCAGCGTCCTCGGCAAACCTGTCCCACCCCCAGGGCTGGCTCTCACCGGTGATGTCATATCGGCTCTTGGGGTCACTGCTCTTGGGCACGGTGACCTCGGCTACCTCCTGCCCTGTCAGGGGGCCGTACCGCAGCTTGTAGTAGTCCACCTCGGTCTGGGGGTTCTCCCATTCCACGTCGAGGGAGCTCTCCGTCTCGTCTGTCACCCAAGCGGTGCCAAGCAGAGCAAGATCTAGGGCAGGGGTGGGGGACGGCAAGAGAAGGCAGTGAGGAGCAGAGGCCCGGCAGGTCTGTGACAGGCCACTGGCTACCAGGTCAGCTCCCTTTCTTGACACACTGAGAGCAAGCTTCACCCCAGGACGCAGTCCCTAACAGACGTCTCAGGATCACCCACGCAGCCAATACACTGGTGGTTTGCACACTGTCCACGGAGGACTGAGCCTCTTCCGGAGAAGCCTCCTCGCCCCACTCATCCCATCGGAGGCCATGCAGCCCTCTGCGTCCATGTGGCGCTGGGCCGAGCCCTGAACCACACCTCAGGCCAGCCGCCCCAGCCCTCGGCCCCGAGGGCAGACTGCTCTGCACTGAACATTCAATGCGTTAGGTACAGAGCCCTGGCCTCAAAGGCAGGCCAGGGCGGGACGCTATTTTCCGGGGTATAACACTGAAAGACAATAAAACCGGCTCTTCCTCGGTCTCCCAAATTACAGCCCCGCCTCCCAAATGGTCCCGAAGGAATAAGTCCAGGCAAAACCATAAAGGAGGTGAATTTTAACTTGGTCCTTCTGAGCACCCGTCCTGCACCTTCTACCTATGTCAGCACCTCCACCAGGTNATGTGTTAGAATAAAGGTGAGCCCCACTTCAAAGAGAGCAAACTTACAAAGCTGAGTAGACAGAAGAAGCTAAGCGCTCTAGGCACATCAGGCAAGTGGATTCCACTTGATAACAAGATTCACCACAGGCTGGGTGGGGTATGGCTGTCCTCGGTCTGTGCTGGGACACCCAGCACACGTCCACACTCCAGCCCATGCCACAGGCACGGGGAGCAGCTTTCTCCATTGCCACGGGCACTCGTGAATCTCCCAGGTGGCGCAGGGGGACATGGCACAGCCAGGATGGGGCCTGGTTTGTGTTTGCTTCCCCAAAGCTGACCTGCTTCTAAAGCCTTGCCTTTCTGGAAGGCCCTTCCATGCACTTCAAGCGTGTTAACAGGGTGAGGGGTTTTCAATCGACCCTTTCTCTTTCATGGAATTCATTCCACTGAGTGACTTAAATGGAAAATGTCTGAACTGTGTCCTCGCCTCCTTGCATGTGCTTACGCAGTTCTTACACTCCAGTGTCTTTTTCCAACTTGTGTAATACAAAACATTTGGAGGGAAGAGAGAGTCTTTTTGTTCCTAAATAAATTAACAGTCTAGCTGGGTTTGAGAGCGTTTTCTGACCTTTGAAATTACTGGGTCTTTTTCTGTACGTTGGAAAGACACATGACGCAAATTTATTTGCAATCCGATAAAATATCCCATCCTGCTTTTGGAATACAACTGACAGTGAAAACACTGCTTAAGTACTCACATTCTAGCTGGCAAAATGAGTCATGACTTTTCTGACAACCCAACAGAAGGCCTCCGTGGAGTGGCTGAGGTTGGAGCCAAGCCTGGAAAGACGGGTGATATCGCTATGAGCCCCTGAAGGGCAGGGACCAGGCCTTGTCATCTTTGGAAGTATATAAGGGACCATGACTCTAATGACCAACGGTAGGTACTCTGCAATGAATGTGTGTTGAGCAGCATTAATTGATAGCTAGAGATAACCATGGAGGGTTTTCTAGGCTGGGGTAACAAAATGAGTAAACTCATGGAGTAGAGACAAGCCTTCTGTGTTAAGAAATGCCAAGAATAGTCGGGCTGCAGGAAGGCTTCCTGTCAGGAAGTAGTGAGAATAACAATGGCCCAGGTTGGATGGGGCCATAGGGGTCAAGATAAAAGGGCTCTATGTTATCCAAAGGCAATGGGGAGTCATTGAAATTTTTTAGTTAGGGAGTAAACAGTGTGAAAACTGGAAATAATGCGCAAGAAGGTAAAAGCAGGAGGCACTTTGCCTTTGTCTCCACCTAAGTGGACATCCTAGGTTCGAATCCCAGCTCAGTCATTTCTTGCTGGGCAATCCTGAGCTTAACGTCTCTAAGCCTCAGTTTTCTAATTTATGACTTAGAAATAATAATAGGACCTACTGCCTATGATTACGGTGACAGCTAAATGAGATAATTCACAAAACATGCTTAGCTAATATAATGCTGGGAACAGAGTAAGCTCTCCATTAATTCACAGCCTAAGGAGAAAGCCACTGGAAGAAAAAAAGTACTTTCCATTTTCCAACTCACTAAATCGTTTCACTAGGCTACCATTCAGGCAGGCGGCACAGTCCATATTGTACAGCCCGTAAATGAAATTGTACCTCATCCTTCATAATTGCCCAACAAAACTCCTTCACNCACTGTTCACGCTACTGGGAGGTCCTTCTCGGCACTTCTAATTCTGTACTCACTTGCACTTTAATAATAACAACTGAACACTGTGTGCCGGACTTTGATTCCCCCTAATCCCTCATCTTTAAAACGCTAACATTACCCTTCCCACTGACAATACCAATTCTAACAGCAGCACAGGGAGCATGTGCTATGCGCCAGGCACTATTCTAAGTGTTCCACATTTATTACTTCATTAATCTTCACAACAACCCTTCCTGGAATACGCTATTATCACCCCTGCTTTACAGACAGGGAAACCGGGGCACAGCCTCTTACATGACTTGCCCACAGGCACACAGCCAAGAGTGGCAGAATTTGAACACAGGTGATCTGGCTCCAGGGTCCACGCTTGTCAGCACTGTGTCATGGTGCCTGGCACAGATACGGAAGCGGGGGTTGGAGCATTGAGTGCCCTCCACCTGATATCTCCTGGGTACACGGTCCTGCTCACCACCTCTGCGTATGAGCCAGCAAAAGATCAGAATTTCTAATAAAAATACCTTCTCTGTGAGTCTTCTCCCTTGTCCCTCTTCCTCCCCCGGCTGGAACTAGCTCTCCTTGTGCTAAGCATTCAGAGACACACACTGGTCCCTCTGTGGGTCTCTTGATGGGTTACCGTGTGCATAGTTACTCTTGTATGCAGCCTGTCTCCCCGAAAGGCTGCGAGCCTCTTAAGGATACATCAGAAAGCTGATTCCTCTTGGGGACCTCCCAAGGCAGGAGCACAGAGTGACACATGTGGAGGGGTTCAGTCACCCTCAAATCCATCAGTGCCCAGGTGGTGTGGTTTGTCCATCAGGCCAGGCCACCAGGGCCAGAGCAGGCTGCTAGGTGTCACCTCCTCTGCCACTAGCAGGAGGTGTGGACCCCTCTCTCTCCATCCCATTTCACCTAGTGCCTCAGCCCCTATCTGAGATGCACGACACGTGGGGGCAGGGCAGTTTCTGCCTCACATTTACTCACAGGCACTCAGTCACCAGAACACCTCTGGCTGGGCTGTCATAGCCACTTCACCTAGACCAAGCTGCAGGGAGGCCTCCTGACAATGGGCTTCTGTGACAACTCGAGACGCTAAGCACAGACACTGCAGAAGCCAAGAAGCCTCGTCCTCTCAGGGCCAAGTTCCACTCAAGCCCACGTTCTCCTTCCCACTGTGAGAGGAGCTACGGCGTGCTGGAAAGACAGGTCCTAGGCATGTGGCCTCGTGGCTGCTTATCCTGAGCTCCAGCCTCCTCGTCTGTAAAATGGGAACGATATTGCCTCACATTGTACGTGGCCATGCCAAGCATGTAGTAAGTGCTCAGTAAATGTTTCGAGGTTTGTTTTGTTTTGAATCAACTACTGAGTATGACTTCCTTTCTCATCTTTTTTATTGAGAAGGGTGACATCTATATTGGAGAAAGCACATAAGTTGTATAGTTTTAATAAATTGCTATAAAGGCAACGGACATGGAACCAGCCCCCAGGTTAAGAGCTAGAAAACTGCTAGCATCTTAGAAGCCCCCCACGCGCCCTCACCTGATGCTGCCCCTTTTCCACTCAGTACTGAGAGTCAGCAGAAAGCCAGCAAAAGAACTGGCCTGGGCAGATAACTCTGTCAGTCAGAAAAGGAAGAAACCGGGCCGGCCGAGTGGCACATTGGTTAAGAGCTGGCTTGGGAT